GAAGCGGGGTCTTTGATAGGCTTGGGGAAAGTCCCTCTTCCCGCTCCCGATAGGTAAGGACTGCAGAGAACAGCCCTCACACAGCAAGGCTAATTCCTGGAAACCCTTAAGAACTCCAGATCAGCTTGATTCCAACACAAAGGAGTAATCAAGGTAGTTAAAAAGGAAACAATGGCAAATGTTTTGTGAAGCCTTTTTTTTTTTTTTTTAAAGAAACTGTGATGGAAAATTTTCCTTGTGAGGAAGAACATATTCTCCTTCTTGGAGTTGATTTTAATGATAATTACTACCAAAGACAAAGGTTCATTTTCACAAAGACAATGTGATGAAGTCCCAAACCCTGGAACTCAGCTTTGATTTCAAAATAGACGTGTGAAGGTATCTGTGCCTCTGGGTGAGAACAAACTTGTAGGCCTTTGTTCTTTCGTAGGTGTGAAGTGTTCTCTTCAAAAACTGCAACATTCACTTAATAAAGTTTGAAACTTTGCTCCAAAGTTTTAAAAAATCTTTTAAATAATTTATCTAGGACGATTGTAAATGATAGTGATGTTAACAGATTGCCCTATTGGGTCTTAGTGGATTGTTTAATTCCTTACTCCGAACAATACATTTCTTGTGTTTTCTTATCAAATGGCTGAAATATGAAAGAATGTGTGGACCCATAAGGAAAAAGGAGAAAACTGTGAGAAGAATTTAATAGGGTTGAAAGATGAGTTCCGGTGATTTTCAAGGCTGAAATTATGATATTAGAATCTGAATATCTTTTATTTAAGAATGGTAATTCTTTCTGAGTGGCTTTGCAAGCCTTCTTTGTGGATCCTTGTGAATCCCTGCCAGGAGGGGAAAGCAGGTGTCATCGTGTCCTTGTTTTGCAGAAGGAGAAGGGGAACCAGGCTGAGCGACTTGCCCAACCACTTACCTACCTTGCGTGGGCTGTTGCTATCCGAGGGGAGCTGAGACAGCTGGGAGATTTGTTCATGTTCTTTCTTCATTAGGGATTTATTCTGTGCCAGAAACTGTGGTCTGGCATTGGAGAGTCACAGCAGGCTAAGACACCTTGCCTGCCTTCCAGGATGTTCTCTTCTCATGCAGGAGGCAGACATAATAGGAGGTACTCTGATATTAGTCAGGGTTCTCCAAAGAAACAGAAGCAATTGAAACAGAAGCAATTATATATATATGTATTTACTCACACACACATATATACATATATTTATACACATGTACACACACATATATACATATACACACATATATAATTTATTTACTATTTACTGTATTTATTTATTATGAGTAATGGGCTCACATGATTATGGAGGATCTGCCATCTGCAAGCTGGAGACCCAGGAAGGCTGGTGATGGATATAGAATAATTCAGTTGGAGTCTGAAGAGAAGCTGAGAACCAGGGGAGCTGATGGTGTAAATCCCAGTTCAAGGGCTAGAGAAGATGAGGTGAGATGTCGCAGCTCAAGCAGCAGGGCAGAGAACAAGGGGACAGAGTCCTTCCTCTGCATTTTGTTCTATTCAGGCCCTGAATGGATTGGCCGATGCCTACCCACTTTAGGTAGGGCAGTCTCCTTTGCTGAGTTTACCAGTTCTCATGCTAATCTAACCTGGAAACACCCACACAGACACACCCGGAAATCGTGTTTAATCTGGGCATCCTGTGGTCCAGTCAAGTTGACATGTAAACTCAACCATCACACTGACAGTAGAGGTGTGAGCAAATGGTCTAAACTCATGGACCAGGAAGCAATAACCTCGGTGTGTGTGAGTTGAGAAAGGCCTGTGTCATGGAAGGCTCTGTCTTTGAGGGCAAGTAGAAGCTTCTTAAATAAAAAAGATGATGGAGAAGGAAGACAGGATAGCAAATGCAAAAGCAGAGAGAGAAACTTAGGAGAACATTTTAGACAACTGCGAGAAGTACAGTAGAAGATGAGGTATTGTTTGGGCAGGATCGGGGGGCATGGTGGTAGTGGTAGACAAGGCTCAGGTCACGAAAGACCTTCTCCATTACGCTAAGAGATTCTGACCCATTTCTCTACGTGGAACTATTCAGTGGAGGTTTATAAACAGAGGAAAACGTCATGTTGTATTAGTAGGAGGATAAATATGGTCGTAATTTGGAGGATGGACAAGTTAGGTAAAGGGACTAATTTCTTTTCTCTTTGATTGTCTAAATTGGGTATTTCTGGATTCCTGAAATGAAGTTGAGCAGTGCTTCATGCCCTGGACTGAGATACTGGCCATCGTTAGGAGTCAAGGTCCATGATTGATTGAATATTGTTTCTTTTCTTTTCTTTTCTCTTTTCTTTTCTTTTTTTCTCTTTTCTTTTCTTTCTTTTTTTTTTCTTGAGACAGAGTCTCCCTCTGTTGCCCAGGCTGGAGTGCAATGGTGTGATCTCAGCTTACTGCAAGCTCCACCTCCCGGGTTCAAATGATTCTCCTGCCTCAGCCTCCCAAGTAGCTGGATTTCAGGCATGCACCACCACGCCTGGCTAATTTTTTGAATTTTTGGTAGAGACAGGGTTTCGCCATGTTGGCCAGGCTGGTCTCGAATTCCTGACCTCAGATGATCCATTCTCCTCAGCCTCCCAAATTGTTGGGATTACAGGTGTGAGCCACTGAGTCTGGCTAATTGTTTCAATCAGTTTTCAATTTTCAAACTTTGTGGTTTTGTAACATGTACACAAATACCCGCAAATATCCTTTCTCCCATTTCAAAATAAATTGAAGGAATATATACATACATAGGTACATTTTAAATTGAAATGGATTGAAATTTATTACTTCTTTGAGAATTTTTTTGGAGAATTGGAGTTTTTCAGGTGCATCTGAAACTTGAGTTACACTAAAAATGAAATTAAAAATGATAGTTCTTCCCACCCACCTTACAGAAAGTCCTTTTCTATATCCCATGTTACAACTGTAGTCATTATGGCAGCCACAGGCATTTGCTAGATAAAGTAAAGCAACTGCTGTTTTCATCATGCAGTAACCTGCCACAACTCCATACTAGATTCTCTGCTTGGTCCTGGGGAAACACAGGTAGAATTTTTCATGGTTACTACCTTCAAGGGTAGGCTCATTAGCTATTCAGATATACTCTATAGTCAAATGCACAGAGACAGCGGGAGAATGGTGGTTGCCAGGAGCTGTTGGGAGGGAAAATAAAGAGTTATTATTATTATTTTGAGATGGATTTTCGCTCTTGTCACCCAGGCTGGAGTACAGTATCATGATCTCGGCTCACTGCAACCTCCACCTCCCAGGTTCAAGTGATTCTTCTGCCTCAGCCTACTGGGTAGCTGGGATTATAGGTGCGTGCCAGCACGCCCAGCTAAGTTTTGTATTTTTAGTAGAGATAGGGTTTCGCCATGTTAGCCAGGCTGGTCTTGAACTCCTGACCGCAGGTGATGCACTTACCTCAGCCTCCCAAAGTGCTGGGATTATAGGCATGAGCCACCACGCCCAGCCAGGAGTTACTGTTTAATGGCTGAAAAGTTTCAGTTTTGCCAGATGAGAAGACTTCTGGAGACGGATGGTGGTGATGACTGCACCACACTGTGAATGTGCTTAATGCCACTGAACTGTATACTTGAAATGGCACAGATGGCAAATTTTGTGCTATGTGGATTTTTACCACAATTAAAAAATAAAAAATACTTTGTGTGTGTGGAACTTCGTATTTTCAAAGTATGTTTGAATACAGTGATGGTTAGTATTGAGTGTCAACTTGATTGGATTGAAGGATGCAAAATATTGTTCCTGGGTGTGTCTGTGAGGGTGTTGCCAAAGGAGATTAACATTTGAGTCAGTGGACCGGGAGAGGCAGACCCACCCTCAATCTGAGTGGGCACCACCTCATCAGCTGCCAGCCTGGCTAGAATAAAGCAGGCAGAAGAACGTGGAAGGACTAGACTGGCTGAGTCTTCCGTCCTTCATTTTCTCCCGTGCTGGGTGCTTCCTGCCCTTGAACATCACATTCCAAGTTCTTCAGCTTTTAGAGTCTTGGAGTTACATCAGTGGTTTGCCAGGGACTTTCAGGCCTTCGGCCACAGACTGAAGGCTGCACTGTTGGCTTCCCTACTTTTGAGGTTTTGGGACTTGGACGGGCTTCCTTGCTCCTCAGTTTGCAGACGGCCTATTGTGGGACTTTACCTTGTGATCCTGTGAGTCAATACTCCTTAATAAACTCCCTTTCATACATACATCTATCCTGTTAGCTCTGTCCCTCTGGAGAACCCTGACTAATACAGGTATGTGATCTGTAAGTACCTCAGAAGGTCTCGCGGTCTTCACATCATAGATGAGGAAGCTGAGGATCAGAGATTTGGAGTACCTAGTCAAAAAGCATGTAGCCAGTCAGGAGAAAACTTTTTAAGATTATTTTTCTTTATTAACTTTTTTTCAAAAATAATGACAAAACCTTCTTAAGTTTGGCATGTATCCTTATGCCTATATATGAGTGTATTTTATTTTAAAAATTTGTATCATTTTGAACATAGTTGTGTTTGATAACCTGCTTTTTTTTTTTTTTACTTATGTTAGCATTTTCTAAATCATAGACATTCCTCTGTACATGATTTTTAATGATTGTATAAGATACCATAATATAATTTGTTTAATCAATTCTTTAAATGTTGGACATTTTGGAGGTCCCTAACGTTTGCTAATATAAAAGCCTTCCTTTTATATAAATGTTCAGAGTAAATCTCTACAGGCCAAATTGTTGGGTCAATGGATTACATCTTTTTCTTTGAGATGGAGTCTTGCTCTGTTGCCAGGCTGGAGTGCAGTGGCGCGATCTCGGCTCACTGCAACCTCTGCCTCCCGGGTTCACGCCATTCTCCTGCCTCAGCCTCCCAAGTAGCTGGGACTACAGGCACGTGTCACCATGCCTGGCTAATTTTTGTATTTTTAGTAGAGACGGGGTTTCACCGTGTTGGCCAGGGTGGTCTCGATCTCTTGACCTTGTGATCTGCCTGCCTCAGCCTCCCAAAGTGCTGGAATTACAGGCATGAGCCACCATTCCTGGCTGGACTACATCTTTTATAAATATTTTCCTATTATCCTTATTAACAGTATTATTCAAGTAGTTACGGTTAAATATTTAAAGATGCCTGAACTACTTAGTGTTTTTTCTTTTTCTTTTTTTTTTTTTTTAAAGACCTAATTCACATGAAAAAGGAAAAACTGGTGCAAAAAATGAATTTTAGAGTGAAACCGTTCTGACTGGGCAAAGAAGTCTATTTCTAATGTGGGGGGTATGGGCTGAATGGTGTCCTTCCAAAATTCATATGTTGAAGCCCTAACCCCCAGTACCTTAGTATGTGCCTATGATTGGAGATGGGGTCTTTAAAGAGGTAATGAAATTAAAGTGAGGTCATTAGGTTGGGTCTTAATCCAATAGACTAGTGTCCTTAGAAGAGGAGGAAGAGACACTGGGAGGGTGTGTGCACAGAGACAAGGCTGTGTGAGGACACAGGGAGTAGACAGCCATCTGCATGCCAAGGAAGGGCTTCCAGAAGAAACCACCCTTGCCAACGCCTCATCTCAGATGTCCAGCCTCCAGGACTGTGAGACAAGAAGTTCCTATTAAGTCAGTTGGTCTGTGGTACTTGGTTAAGGCAGTCAGAGCAAACTGCTACAGTAGTTGGGAAAACTGCGTGTGTGTGCGCACATGTGTGTGTGCGCGCACATGTGTGTGTGCGCACGCTCTCATCTTGGTGCACCTGTACCAGCATCTGAATGCTTGAGTTGGTCATGGCACACTGGGCCCCAGGTGTCCAGAGACAGATGTCCAGGTGCAGCGTCAGATGGGCCGTTCAGGTTCCACGGGTCCGTCTCTCCTACGATGGCCAGTTTGTTTGGAGGATCACATCGGATGAATGGAAGGAAGTGGTCGCTGGCCTCATGGCCATGGCACTGTTCAACCTATAAAATATAAATGCAGAAGTCAGGAGCACAGAAACAGGCTCTGCTAAAGTGGAGGGCCTGCCTTTCATTGCCTTTCGGTTCCAGGGAGACCTGGGGGAAAGCCTTCCACCTGGACGGGAAGGTCTGGGTATGGATACCACATCTCTGCCTTGACCTTCAATCGCTGCATCTCATCTCTGATCACTTTTCTTCATAGTTTTGGTCTTTGGTTACAACATTCGTGCGATTAAGTGATAACTGAATCATTCCTAACTGCTGTAGATTGAAGGACGCAGCAATCACCTTCCTCTCCGAGAGCACAGGCAAATGTTTCTGGGTCATGTAGTCAGGAGGTTGTTTAAAAAAGCCAAGGTAGTACCGTGTGATGTTTATTGTATGATCTCTGGAGTCAGACCACTGGGTTTTAACTCCTGTCTCCTCAGTTTGCTTGATATCACTTAGCAAATTTATCAGCTTTCCTGACCCTCAGTTTCATCATCTATAAAATGGTTTAATAGTCATTTTTTATCATGGGGTATTGAGAAGATTAATGAGGTGATTCATTGTTTGTGTCACATTGCCTGACACATAGTAAGTGCCTGATAAATGTGAGCACCTATTATTACGTTATTAACCATCCCATCAAACTGTACTTTAGGAATTATGGTGGCTAGGACATGGAATTCCAACAATTCCAGACCATTTAGCTCCACTTAAATTTGTGTCAGAAATATGGTAAATTTAATGAAGCTGGCTCATCGTTAAAATGCAAAGCTGTTCTGAGTCTGAAAAGAGGCAATGCGTGGGAAGTATTTAATAGGGGCCTAGAATTTTCTAAGTGATCAATAAATGGTGATGATAAAATGTGCAGAGTCAGGATGGGCATGATCTTGGTTTCGGTTCAGCTCTTCCACTAAGTAGCTTTGTGACCTAAGGGAAGTCTCAAGTTCCTCAAGCCTCTCTCTCCTCATTGGTAAAGTATCAACAATAGTAGAACCTACTCTTAGGTTTGTGGTGAGGCTCAAATGTGCTTTGTGGGGCTTTGTGCCACTTTGTGTTGTGGTGGTGGTGGCGGCTTTTCCCTGATATAGCTCTCTAGGATATGTAATGGTAAAGGAGGAATAAGGGCTTTTCAAAATGGAGCTCTGAGCGGCTGTGGGAACAATCTATGTGGTACATCTGTGGCCCCGCTGGCTGCCAGGTGTCTGGAGACCTGTGTGCCATCTCTCCCCGTCATGCCATGTGCCTCCCTCCTGAGGCTGTGGGCTGCATCCAAGAGAATGACCTTCCTTGACAGAGGAGAGCAGCTCTCCAGGAAAAGGAATGGGAGGAACTTCCTTCTGCTCGAACCCGCAACTACAGGTTTAAAATGCTGTGTGTGTGCACGTGTGTGTGTGCACGTGTGTGTGTGCATGTGTGTGTGTGCACGTGTGTGTGTGCATGCGTGTGTGTGTACGTCTTTAGTTAGTGAGACCACTGTAGGTGGTGTCAGGTGGTGTTTAGAAGGCACGGCGCTGACTGGAAAGGGTGGCAACAGACATGATAACTATCCAGGGTGCTGAGGCTTATGCAGTTTGCAAAATGCAGACAAACCAGTATACGCCATGTTTTTAAAGTTACATTTAGGTCAAGGAGAAAAATAGAAAAGCCTCACTTAGGCTTCTGATGAAACGGGGAAAAGAAGAAAGCAAGTGTTTTTGACTACCCGCTTAGTGCCAAGCACTGTGGCTGGCACTTTCCAAGAAATTCTTCCATTCAGATAAAAAGAGAGAGCACTCAACTGCTTTTTCCTCCTGTTGTCTTGATCAAGGAGAAAGCTGTTTACAGTAAAAATGTATTTGCAAGAGAATTTTAAGATAATTTCCAAGAAAAGCTAGGAAACAGTAAACTCCAAATCAGTTGGTTTCCTGATCCAGATTAATCATTTCCTAGGATTTTTCCCAAATTATTAGTAGACATTGCTGGACCATTGTCATTAGCCATTGAGGAGCTGCAGAGAAAGAAGGAGAGGTAATAGAAGGCAGAGATCTGAATTCTACTAGCTGTACATTGGTGTTTCTGATCTCAGTCCCAGGTGACATCCTAGACTGATAGTCAAGTAAATGTTCTGTGAGAAAGGGAGGTGGTAACCACCAGAGGCCACCATAGGTTCCCTGGGGCAGGCATGGCGGGTGACCTCATGGGTTTGTAAATAGCATCACTATGCTAGAGGCATTAGTGGAATGTCATAGATATGGGATATACAAATTTATGTGTGGTGTATTTGATAAAGTCTCTCTTGGTATCCTTATAGAAAGTAAGGTGTGAAATGCAGGAAAACATACAATGGATGATGGTTCATTGATGTGGAGACAAAATTAGCTCAGTGGCTGATTCCTGAAAATATTGGTTGGTGATTTGAGAGTAGAGATCACCCTTGAGGAACACCTGCCTTACCTGTTTTGGGCTCAATATTTTGTTTCAGTGTCTTGAATAAGGACCCTAGATAATAGGCTTACAAAATTTGTGGAAAATGTAGAGTTACTTAAATGTTAGTTGGCAGAACATTGGGGTTGCGGTTGGAGGCCGGGGATGCCGACGGGAAGGATCCAGTTAAGAGGGAAGCAACCCAGAGATGTGGACACATCAGTGCTGAGGCCCCTCAACATCCACCCAGAGATGTAGACACATCAGTGCTGAGGCCCCTCAACATCCACCCAGAGTGTGGACACATCCGTGCTGAGGCCCCTCAACATCCACCCAGAGTGTGGACACATCCGTGCTGAGGAACATCCACCCAGAGATGTAGACACATCAGTGCTGAGGCCCCTCAACATCCACCCAGAGTGTGGACACATCCGTGCTGAGGCCCCTCAACATCCACCCAGAGTGTGGACACATCCGTGCTGAGGCCCCTCAACATCCACCCAGAGATGTGGACACATCAGTGCTGAGGCCCCTCAACATCGACCCAGAGTGTGGACACATCAGTGCTGAGGCCCTTCAACATCGACCCAGAGTGTGGACACATCCGTGCTGAGGCCCCTCAATGTCAACCCAGAGATGTGGACACATCCGTGCTGAGGCCCCTCAACATCAACCCAGAGATGTGGACACATCAGTGCTGAGGCCCCTCCATGTCAACCCAGAGGTGTGGACACATCAGTGCTGAGGCCCCTCAACATCAACCCAGAGTGTGGACACATCCGTGCTGAGGCCCCTCAATGTCAACCCAGAGATGTGGACACATCAGTGCTGAGGCCCCTCAATGTCAACCCAGAGGTGTGGACACATCAGTGCTGAGGCCCCTCAACATCAACCCAGAGTGTGGACACATCCGTGTTGAGGCCCCTCAACATCAACCCAGAGTGTGGACACATCCGTTCTGAGGCCCCTCAACATCAACCCAGAGTGTGGACACATCAGTGCTGAGGCCCCTCAACATCAACCCAGAGTGTGGACACATCCGTGCTGAGGCCCCTCAACATCAACCCAGAGTGTGGACACATCAGTGGTGAGGCCCCTCCATGTCAACCCAGAGGTGTGGACACATCCGTTCTGAGGCCCCTCAACATCAACCCAGAGTGTGGACACATCAGTGGTGAGGCCCCTCCATGTCAACCCAGAGGTGTGGACACATCAGTGCTGAGGCCCCTCCATGTCAACCCAGAGGTGTGGACACATCAGTGCTGAGGCCCCTCAACATCAACCGCTTGCTGATTTGAAGTGAAAAATGGGTTCCTCAGTAAGGACAGAATTACAGTGTTTCCTTTGCAAAAGATGAGTGTTAAAAGGGAACATGCACAAAGATGATGGCTTATATGGGATGAATAAAGACTTATCAAACTCTGGCTGGCCATGGTGGCTCACGCCTGTAATCCCAGCAGTTTGGGAGGCCGAGGTGAGGGGATCACTTGAGGCCAGGAGTTTGAGACCAGCCTGGCTAACATGGTGAAACCCTGTCTCTACTAAAAATACAACAATCAGCCGGGCATGGTGTCCCATGTCTGTAATCTCAGCTACTTGGGAGGCTGAGGCACAAGAATCGCTTGAACCCAGGCGCTAGAGATTGCAGTGAGCTGATATCATGCCACTGCACTCCAGCCTGGGCAGCAGAGCCAGACTGTCTCAAAACAAAAAACAGAAAACAAACAAACAAAAAATTGTCAAACTCTATGATCCTAACTAAAAGATAGGAGAAACAGTTAACTAACTTTCTTTTAGTTAGGTACTCCAGGGTACTACTTTTTGTGATGGCAGACACACTTAAGCTATTTGTAAATGTGCCACCACCTTTTCAAATAATTTTTATTGAAAGTTAACATGTTTTCTCTGACAAAAATTTATTTAATGAGAAACCTTATGTATATAAGGGCTACAATAAAATTTTCATGGACTCTGAGATGAAAAGAGACGTTTATGTCTTCTTGAAGTTATACGGTTAGCAAATGTAAATGCTGTCGGGCTGGACTGTGTATGATGCAACTCTGCTAAACACTGTCTTGCAGTTTGTGTGTGTGTGTTTTGTACTGAACCATGTGCTCCTGTGCTTGCTAGGACAGTGACTTTTACAATTTTTGAGATGATGCCCATAGTGAGAACCACATTTTTCACAGTGTTCCAGGGTGTGCACATGTCATATACTCCACACAGAACTGCAGCAAAAAACTCAGGAAATAATACTTACCTGAAGATGCTTTCTCATTCATTCTGCTTTATTTGTTTCTATCCTATTTTTATTTAAAAATACTGATGAGGGCTGAGTGCTGTGGCTCATACCTGTAATCCCAGCACTTTGGTAGGCCAAGGCTGGAGGTTTACTTGAGCCTAGGAGTTTGAGACCAGCTCAGGCAACATAGCAAGACCTAGTCTCTACAAAAAAAAGTAGGAAAATTAGCTAGATGTGGTGATATGTGTCTGTAGTCCCAGCTACTAGGAGGCTGGGGTGCGAGCATCACTTGAGCCTAGGAGTTCAAGGTTACAGTGAGCTATGACTGTGCCACTACACTCAAATCTGGGTGACAGAGTGGGACCCTCTCTTAACAACAACAACAATAACAACAAAAAAACGATGAAGACTTTCTCCTTTGATCTCATCAGTCACTAGTTTTAAAGAAGTGCTCTGGCAGAGACTTAATACATGTTTAATGCTATAGCTGTCTCTTTCTTCCAAGGAGAAACTGTTTTATGTTATCATCTCATATTACATCATTTTAAATGATGTCAAGTGAAATACTTTTAGATAGAGACGAGTTTCTATTTTATAGCTGCAGAACAGAGTTACAGTGAGTGTCATAATCATGAAACAAGCTGGCATCTTGCCACTGGTTTATGGACCATTTTGCAATGATTTGCCCAAAACCTGTCAGCCATCACACGTCAAGGAATTAGGGAAAAGAATTGTTGCTTATAGACTCTTAGCGTAGGAAGGACATGTAGAGGTCATCTATTCTAACATCTCACTGAGGGCAGGGGTCACTTCTGTAGTAGTTTCACAGTTGACCATTCAGTATCTGCTTGGTTACCTTCAGAAACAGAGAGCTCACTGTGTTAGTTTTTTTGTCATTGCTGTACTACATTAGCACATATTTTGTGTCTTAAAGCAACATAAATTCATTATCTTACAGTTTTGTAGTTCAGAAGTCTGAAATGGGTCTCAGTGGGCTAAAATCAAGGTGCTGACAGGACTGCATTTCTTTCTGAAGGTTCTAGGAGAGAATCCGATGTCATGCCTTTTTCAATTCCTAGAGGTTGTTACCATTCCGGGGCCAGCTATGGAGCTCATGCCATTCCATCTTCAAAACCAACAATGGCTGGTAGAGCCTTTCTCACATCCTATCACGCTGACCCACAAGTCTTCTGCTTCATCTCTCTGCAACCTTAATCCTCCCTTGACAGGTAAGGTAACATTCACAGGGTCTAGGAATTATGATGTAGGTCTTTTTTTTGGTTGGGGGGCATTGCTGTGCCTGACCATCCCCATCGCATCTCCCCACCTTTTCCCCCTGGCAAGCCGATTCTACTTTCTGATGGTTCTAATTTTGGGAATCACACATGTGTTGACTTATGATAATGACTGCTATTCATGCACAGAGTTTTTAAAAGAGAAATAAAGAAACCTGGAGATTTTCACCTTTGAGAGCACCAGCCGTTTTGAAGGCTGAGACTGAGAGAAAACCGGTAGAAACTAATTCATAGGCGGTAATGTCTCCCTCTACTGGCTGCAAAGTTAACACATGCATTTTGCAGAGAGAAATGCTTGGTGTTTGCTAGAAAAGGATAAACAGTGAGTTTTGCCGAGAAGAAACTGTAAGACACGAGGCTGGTGGATATCTTAGCTGCACTGTGCTTACTTGGTCGCCGTGGAGAAGGTATTTTTAAGGTCGCCACGCCCAGGCCTCGGAGGTTCGGTGGGTTGGGAGTGTTCATAGGGAGTCCTTTGGCAGTTGTGATTTTATCAGGGATTGAGATCTGCTGAGCCGTTTGGTGTGCTGCCTGTGACTCTCATCCACAGAGGGGAAGTAACTAAGCAAAGGGATGACTTCACAAAAGCTGTTTTGTTAAAAAAAAAAAAAAAAAAAGCAAACATACAGATCCTTATTGCTTCATTCTTTTAACACTGAAATTGCAACAGTTGAGTAAACCCTTTAAGGTACTTTACTATTATGAGGATGCCTTCATTTTGGAGAGATGAAAATTTAATTGAAGACCAAAACCAGAAAGTTTCAGGAATTACATAAAAATATTAACATCACTGTTTTTGTGCTAAGTTCCTCAAATGAGTTTTAAATATTAAACTGAATGAAAAATCAGTGTAGACAGTTTTTCAAATTAAAGTTCTTTGTAAAAACAAAATAAACATATATCATAAAGTAAGTATTGCTTTTTCCTTTAGTGCCTATTTTAGTTTTATTTAAGCATGGGCAGGAAGAGACCTTGTTACTTTTAAATGAAAATATCCATTTTCAAAATGTCACTTTCTGTATCTGTAATGTACAAAACTGAGTAAATGTGGCAAAAACATGTGACAAAAAGAGATCTTTGTTACTTAATAAATGAAAATACCCGTTTTGAAAGTGCTGCTATCTCTAATGTACAAAATTGAGGCTGGGCACAGAGGCTCACGCCTATAATCCCAACACTTTGGGAGGCCAAGGTGGGCGGATCACCTTAGGTCAGGAGTTTGAGACCACCCTGGCCAACATGGCAAAACCCCGTCTCTATTGAAAATACAAAACTTAGCTGGGTGTGGTGGCAGGCATGTGTAATCCTAGCTACTCAGGAGGCTGAGGCAGGAGAATTGCTTGAACTAGGGAGGCAGAGGTTGCAGTCAGCTGAGATCATGCCACTGCACTCCAGCCTGGATCACAGAGCGAGACTTTGTCTCAAAAAAAAAAAAAAAAAAAAAAAAAAAAAAAAATTGAATAGTTGGCAGAAAACCCTGTGGTGGTCATGGAGGTGTGCCACTCAGCTGTCCTTCCAGGAAACTTGCTATGAGAGTAACTGATGACAATCTTCAGCTATGGAGGTCATGCCAAACCTGCCGTCTCCTGGGGCTGCCCCCAGCTGATGACTGGGCATGGTGGGGGGAGCTGGAGCTGAGCCCTCCATACCCCTCTTGGGACTCTTCTAATGGGCAACCTTTTATCTGCCTCCCTCCTACCCCATCAGTCTGGCCAAGGCTTGCTCAGAGCTCCACTGCAGTCTGAGGCTCCTTCTCCATAATCCTCCTTCCTTCCCTCTCTCTTCCACAGGTGTCAGACCTACATCTGGATCTGAAGGTTATCTATACCTACTCCTCCTTTTTCCCTTCATCCTTCCTAGGTATTTCTCCCAGAAAACCACTGGCAGGTCTAATTTTGTCTTGGCATCAACTTCTTGAAGGATCTGAACAGGTACATGTGTAAAGATTCATGGAAAGAATTTTTAAATCACTTCAGAAAGTTGTTCAATTTCCCTCTGCCAGTGATTGCAAAGAGGGTAGTATAGCTAGAGTAGAGTGAATAAGGGAGTGACTGGTAAGAGTTAAATCAGAGAGAGGTGGCAGTGCAGATTGTGTAGGATCCCTTTGAGCAGTTTATGAATTTGGACCATGACTCCGAGTAAGTCAAGCCATCAGAAGTTTTGAGCAGAAGAGTGACATGATCTCAGTTAAATTTTAGTAAGGCCACCGTAGCTGTCAGAATAGACTGAATGGCAGGGATTGGGAGGTCGGGCTGGGAAGGACCAAAATACAATCACAGAGAACTGTTGCAGCTGCAGAGAGCTGTTGCAGCGATCCAGGGGAGAAATGGTAGTAGCTGGCATCGGGATGCTGGCAGGGGAGGTGGAGAAAAGAGGTTGGATTCTGGATATATTTTGAATATAGAGCTAACAGGAACAGATGTTGGATATGAGTGGAAATGATGTTAAAGAAGACTTCAAGGTTCTTAGCTTAAGCAATTTGAAGGATAGAGCTGCCATTTTCTGGTGTGGAGAAGATTGAAGGAAGAGTAGCTTTGAGTGAGAAGAGGAAAAGTTTAGATTTTGACTTGTTAAGTTTGAAATACATTTTAGACATTCAAGGGCAAATGGAGAACAGGTAGTTGAATATCTGACTACTTTCCCCCACTCCCATTGCAATCTTCCCAGCCCGAAGCACTGCTTTCTCTCATCTGGATTACTGCAGTGCAGTAGCATCCCAGCTGGCATTCCTGCTTCTGCCATTGTCCCTTTTCTATTTCCACACAACAGCTAGAGTTAGTTCGTTAAAAATATAAGTCAGAAAACTTCTGCTTCATGTACTGATGGACTAGGCATTTTGGACCCATATTCCTATTGAAGGCAACAAAGAAGCCCAGATAAAGTCTTTGAAAAAATCTACTTGAAGACAGATATTAGCTGCCTAGTGATGGCTACTAATATGATGAAGAATTGCTGTCCAAGA